AAGAAGAAGAAGAAGAAGAAGAAGAAGAAGAAGAAAAAAAATAATTATGGGGTCCTTGGTACTGTTTGAGCTTGCTTATTTTCTTTCAGACATTTCATTACCCAGCTAGAGAACATCATCAGTGCTAGAAGAGAGTGGTTTGCTGTGTTTACTGATGATGTTGCCTAGTTTGGGTATTGAAATGTCTGCAAGAAAACAACCAAGCTCAGAGAGCACCAAGGGGCCCTCAGATTATAAGGAAGGAACACTGTCTATTTATGGTCTCTTCTACTTCTAGGTAGTCCCAGGTCACTCATACAGATGCATGGAGATGAACCTCACTACTATCCCTTCAGGTATCCCAAACACCACCCAGACCTTGGACCTAAGTTTCAACCCACTGAAAACCCTGCACTCCAATTATTTCTCAGCCGTTTTTGCACTGAGATTTCTGGACCTCGCTAGGTAAGAAGCTTCAACAGGAAAGATGCAAAGATGAGGGTAGGATGGAACAATTTTCTGTATGTATTTTCTTCTGTAAACCCAATTTCTCGGTTTCCTGGGTGGCAGCTGGTTGTGCGAACAGGAAAATCAGTTGAGTGTATGGTATATGGAGATTCCCAGTCATCCAGGTCCTGGTTGTCCCAAAGGTGCTTTTTTCAAAAGGCAACTGGATTTTTTTGGTTTTTCTTTTGAAGATGTTTCTCTCCTCATCCGAGAAGCTTCTTCAGCTCTGACCAGATGGTGGGGAATGGAAGGATTTACACTCCTTGCAGACAGCTGGTCATTTGCATCCTTTTACAGAGTCATTGAGGCCACCTGGAGGTTTATCTGTGTCCTCAGGGTCACCTGAGTGGTGCAAATGGGTGGGGAGCCTTTTTGGCTGCAGGATGTTTTCTGCCCTGTATCCTTTCACTGTTGAAGACAGGTGCAAGATGCAAATGACCAGCTGCCTGCAAGGAGTGTAAATCCTTCCATTCCCTATCATCCAGTCAGAGCTGAAGAAGCTTCTTGGATGAGGAGAGAAACATCTTCAAAGAAAGACCAAGAAAGTCCAGTTGCCTCTTAAAAAAGCACCTTTGTGACAGTTATGCATATAAGTAAAGTAATTTGGACAAGGTAATTTTTTAACCTACTTGGGATTTTTGCTCCAAGTACAATTCTATTTTTCCTAAATTCCACATCTGATCTTCATCAGAATAGAAGCTGGTTGCATTTTAGGTGTTTTGCATTTTGACTTTAACAGAGTTTTTTTTTTAAATGTACCATTCCTTAGTGGTGTGTGTGTGTATGAAAAATAAATAGTCCTTCATATCTTTCAATCTTTTAAAATTAATCACTTTGCCTTCTTAAACACTGTACTTGTACACTTGTCTTAAAAGAGTTTTGTTTGTTAACTTTTTGTTTTAAGGAACACTTTGTTCTCACTTCCCTTTCCGCCCTTAAGGGTTTAAATTTTGTGACGAATGTGGATGTTTATGAGTTCGCTATCTTATGAAAAAGCAATTCTTTAGTGGCCACCTTTGTCCTGATTTAAAACAGATTCCAGAAGTGGGGGAAATGCTAAACTGGCATAAAAACGTCAGACGGGAAAGCTGTGCAAAATTCGAATTGATTTTGAATCTAAGTGAATATTTAGATCCGGTAACCAATGCTGGTTAAACTGTCTGTTTAATCCTCTTGGAGCTTTTCCAAGTCAACCCACCATCTTTGGGAGTGGTTTGAATTGCAAAATCAGAATGGGATATTGCATCTTTACGGTTCTTGACTGTCAATCAAATTTTATCAAGGCCATATAGTAGGGGTGTCAAACTCAATTTCGTTGAGGCCCGCATCAGGATTGTGTTTGACCTTGGAGGGTCAGAGGGAAGGGGAAATGGCTAGGGAGGGGGCGTCATTGTGGTGGGTGTGGCTGAGGTGGGTGTGGCCATGGTGGGCAGAGTGTTGCTGGAGGCCACGGAGGCTGAAATGGGATGCGGGAGGATCCAGCCTATGGGCCTTGAGTTTGACACCCCTGTCATACAGCATAAAATCCGTCCTTGACTGATAGATGCCCCTATGAACTTTCCCCTTCTTTTCTCCCCTGTTCCAACAGGTGTCATCTTTGGAAGATCGAGGACAATGCCTTTATGGGACTCAACAGCCTTTCGGTCTTGATCCTGACAGGAAATCCCCTCCAGATCTTGGGACTGAGGGCTTTTCATGGTCTACCTTCTTTGCAGAGGTTTGTTGCTGTCGAAACCAATTTGTTCTCATTGGGCACGTTGCCCATCGGGCACTTGACGTCTCTCCAAGAGTTGAATCTGAGCCACAACCACATCGATTCCTTGAAGCTCCCAGGCTATTTCTCCTACCTAATTTCACTCCAGCACCTGAACTTCCAATTAAACAAGATCTCCTCCATCTCGGTAGGAGATCTAGATGCTTTAGCAAGCCCCAACTTGACGTTGGTGCTATCTAGAAACGATATAAAACACATTGAACGGAAGGCCTTTGCGGGACTTCACTTTCAGCAACTGGCTTTGAGAGGCTGCTTTGAGGATAAAGTCATTATGCAAGCCAGCATCCAGAACATGTCCGGTTTGCATGTCAACAGTTTATTGTTAGGAGACTACAGAGATATTAGCAAAGTGGAATCCATCGACCAAAGCCTTTTAAATGTCCTGTGTGACTTGTATTTGCAGGAGCTCACTGTCATTGAAATGGACTCCCTAGAAACTGGAAGCACCCTCTCACCTTGTCTCAACAATATTTCCAGGGTGCGTGTGATCCATACTTATTTCGGCGAAGACTTTATGTTTCCAAGCAACTCCAATATTTCCCACCTTGAGTTCAAGAACTGCGGACTGGATGCAGTCCCTGCTCAGAATCTCCCTTCCTTAACAAAGCTAAGAGTGCTTCAGATCACTCACACTAAATATCTCAGAGACTTTGAAAAGTATTTTGAAGGCCTCCAAAACTTGGAGACCTTGGACCTCAGCGTTAACAGGCTGGACACTCACCTGTCCTGGGTTGAACTCCTGGAGGGCACTCCCAACCTGAAGCACTTGAACCTCAGCTTCAACACAAAAATCAGGTTAGAAATTGAATGCAATGGGCCAGGCAAGTTGGAATATTTGGATTTCCAACACACGGCCCTCGCCTCACCTGGAACCGTTCCTTCGTTTTTCTGTCTCAACCATCTGATTTATCTTGATATTTCTTACACGGATACCACAGTTATATCTCAGTGTTCGTTTTGTGGCTTGCACAGCCTGCGTGTGCTCAAAATGGCAGGCAACTGCTTTGCAAACAATCAGTTGGTTGACAATTTCCGGAATCTCACCAAACTGCACTTTTTAGACATTTCCAATTGCCAACTCAAATATATCTCTCTCAGCAGTTTAACCTCCCTCCATGAACTCCGGCTGCTGAATGTCAGCCATAATAAACTGCTAGGTCTCCACCCAGAGACTTACATGAATTTCCCTCTTCTCACCACCCTGGATTTTCACAATAACCAGTTGGCTGCTTTGACGGAGGAAGATCTTAAGAACTTACCTGCTAGCCTGAAACACGTGGACCTCTCTGCAAATCTTTTTGATTGTTCTTGCGATCATGCACATTTCTTGCGGTGGGTAAAAAACTCCTCAGCCCTTCTTCGAAATGTCCAAAACATGGTCTGCTATAGCCCTTCAGACTTAAAAAATGTGCAAGTGATGGATTTTGTCTTGGCGTCCTGTGAGATCAGCACAACCACCGTGGCTGTTTCGGTGACTGTCGTTCTGGTTCTGATTGTAATCTTGATTCTATGTTATAAATATTATTTCTACCTTTACTATATCATGGTGCTCTTCCTCGGAAACAAGTTCTCGGAGGAAAAGGAAACAGTCTACGATGCCTTTGTGATCTTCTCCAGTAAGGACCAGGAATGGGTGAAACAAGAACTGCAGCAGCCTCTGGAAGAGGAATTACCATACTTCCACCTCTGTCTTTTCTACCGAGATTTCATCCCTGGAGTTTCCATCATTACCAACATCATCAAAGAAGGCTTCCAGAGCAGCCGAAAAGTCATCGCTGTGGTCTCCGATCACTTCCTGGAAAGCCGCTGGTGTAACTTCGAACTGGAAGTGGCTCAATCGTGGCAATTAGTGGAGAGCAAAGCCAGCCTCATCTTAGTTGTCTTAGATGGGGTCGACAAAGCAGCCCTCCATCACAAACTGGGGTTGTTCCGTTACCTACGGAGAAACACCTTCTTGACCTGGAAGGACCGGGACCTCAGCCGCCATGTCTTCTTAAGGCAGTTGAGGTCGGCCTTGCTTGAAGGCAAAACATGGACGGAAGATGAACTCAAGCTAATGTTAAAAAATGGGTGAGGTGTATTTTTGCTGCCCAACAGAGCCGATTGGTTTAATTTAAAGGAAGCCTTCAAGAATAGGGGGGTCTCACCTTTAGAATTTCTGTTTCGAACCTAATACTCTAAGTCAGTGGAGATTCTCAGTCAGCCAGGCCATGGTTGTGCTTTTTTCCCCCAAGAGTTTCTGGTTTTTCTTTGAAGACTCAAGAAGCTTCTTGGATGGGAAGTGAAACATCTTCAAAGAAAAACCAGAAAGTCCACTTGCCTATTGAGGGGGAAAAAAGCATATTTGGGTCATAGTATCCTAAGCCACAGCCAGATCCATTTATTTGGGAGTGGGGTTTCCTGACCCCCATTTGGTGTGGTGTGGTGGCCTAGAGGTGGAGTTCTTGCCTTACAATCAGGAGGCTGTGGGTTTGATCCTAGATAGAGGCAGATATTTCTCTGTCTGGGCACGATGAGAGTATATCTGCTGAACAAAACTCCGGATTGGCGACAGGAAGAGCATCTGGCCAGTAAATACTCCACTCCATTCAGTTGCCCAGACTTCAACTCACAAGGGATTATGGGATCATTAAAAGGAGATGATGATGTTGATGATTTGGGATACACCAGCATTTCTATTCTTCTGTCTCATGGTCATCATTATGATAGTGATGATGTTATCCATTTAGTCGGGTCCAACTCTTGGCTATTCTATGGGCCAGGTCTCTCCAGTTCTTCTATGGGCCAGATCTTCCACTTCTTCTTGGTTCTATGCTCTGGCTGGGGTCAGCTTTGATTGTGTTATTTTGTATTGTTGGAAGACTTGATTGAGGTCTATCAGCTTCCACGATTTTGATGAAGAGGTTGAATTGACTTTCTCTTGAATGGACTTTATCGCTATGAATAGAGAAACCCGACGAAGCATTCAGTCCGGTGTTCAGGTATGGTCAGAGATCTTAAGACATGACTTGGAGCATTAACGTGGAACAGGTACAAAGAGAACAGGGCAGGCCACCAAAGGTGCTTTTTCCAAAAGATAACTGGACTTTCTTGGTTTTCTCTTTATCCAACCTCCTGCTTAAGGCAGGGGAAACTTGTAACTCTTCAATGACTCATGATCACCAGGGAATTCAAGTGGTGGGATGGGGGAGAAGACATTAAGAAATTTCATTTTCTTCCTTTGGCAAATATCTGTCATCCCGATTCATTCCCCAACCTTCACAAATGGGATGAATCAAAGAGAAAACCCATCTAGAACAGCATTAGTTATTATTATGTTCTCCTCTAGTAGAGGTTTTTAAGATGAGACTGGACAGCTGCTTGTCTGGAATGGTATAAGTTCTCCTGCCAGAGCAGGGGTTGGACTAGAAGACCTCCAAGGTCCCCTCCATTTCTATTATTCTGTTATTCTGCATGAGGAACATAGGAGCTATGTTAATAGGGGCAAGTGAAGGTGTACTCTGGAATGACATATTTTGTCTTCCTGTTCTGGGAATTATTTTCTATATATGTGGTATCCAAGAAGGAACTGATAAGGAAAACAGACAGTGCATTTTGACAGAAGTTATGACCTCCTTTAAAAAAAAAAATGTTGAAAAAAATGTAAATTAATTTGTGTGACACTAATGGAAATGACTGAGGAACGTCCATAAATAAAGTTCTTAATTATTCCACTCTTACTTTGTCCATGCCTGGCAAGATAATGACAACAAGAGATGCCGGCGGGGGAAAAATATTTTAAACCTGCCGACACAAGGTTTAAAAGCAAAGGTGTGCCAGACAGCGTGGGTTTTCAAAGCCCTCCGGTCTAGCATTTGTGCACCCTTGTGTTTGTGTGAATGTTTGCACCCTTCCTGATGATGAAGAATCCACTTGTTTGAAGTGACAGATTTCTAATGTACTCCATTCGCTAATTTTGGAGTAATTTTTTTTGTTTTTGAATTGGTGGTCGGGAATGTGCATTTTTGGGTCATTAATGATTTTCCAGCATTTACGTAGAAATGCTAGCTAATCTCTACATTATATTTACTTCTTTCTCACCCATAAACAAACTAACAAACAAACAAAAACACAGATGGGTTGCTACGTGTGATACACAGCCAGTCCTCGATTTACAGCCATGATCCGAGCCCAAAATTCCTGCTGCAAAGTGAAACACTTGTTAAGTGAATTTTGTCCCATTTCCACATTTGTTAATGGAATCGCTGCCATTCTTAAATTAGCCGCACCGTCATTAAGCACAGGCAGCTTTCAAGCCAGTGACTTTACACTCATGAAATAGCGAGCGGACTCTATATTCTTAATGAGCTAAGGATTGCAGCTCTTACATTTCTGGCAGACAGCAACAAAACCAACATAAGAGAGGTCATTTCGCAAGGTCCTCACCACTAAAGCTAGTAGAGAAAGCATCAAGCTATGTAAATATTTGTCTGAATTCCATCCGCGGATTTAAATTTAAAAAGAAAAAAAGAAAACTCCCTTTCTGTGTATGTGTGCGTGTGTGTATATATGCTCTCTGTCTCTAAGCCATGTGTGTGTGTGTGTGTGTGTGTGTGTGTGTATTTCTCCTCCTGTCTCTCAGCCTTTGAAAAACCCAATTCACAGTGTAAATAAATGTTTGCATCAAATCCCACTATCCTAAGATGCTTTTTAAAAGTATTGTTATTATTGCCATCGTTATTATCGTCATTATAATAAAGGGTTTCTGGAAACCCACCAGCAGCTGGGAGGAATGATAATAAAGAGTTTATGCTGGTTGTGCTGCTGATAGGGGGGGGAAAAAAAGAGCTTGCTGAAGGCAGAACTCAGCAAATAGGAGCCCCCAGGGATTTGGTGTGGCAGAAGGTAGGATAAAAAATAAGTGGCACTTTCTACCAGTTAGGGCTGGCCTGTGCCCCACCAGGTTGGGTCAGGAGACAGGTAGAGAGTTATGAAGATACTAAAAAAAATAAAAGGGGAGTCCAGGTAAAGGTAAAGGTTCCCCTCACTCATCCGTGCTAGTCGTTTCTGGCTCTGGGGGGCAGTGCTCATCTCCATTACGAAGCTGAAGAGCCAGCGCTGTCTGAAGACATCTCCACGGTCATGTGGCCAGCATGACTAAACGCCGAAGGTGCATGGAACGCTGTTCCCTTCCCACCAAAGGGGTCCCTATTTTTCTTTTTTGTACATGCTTTCGAACTGCTAGGTTGGCAGAAGCTGGGAGAAGGAACGGGAGCTCCCTCCGTGACGCGGCGCCAGGGATTCGAACCGCCGAACTGCTGACCTTTCTGATTGACAAGCTCAGCGTCTTCACCACTGAGCCGCCGCGTCCCTTTCAGTATGCCTAGTCTAGGGGGGGAAAAGGACAAGGGGTGATATGATAGCTGTCAACAAAGTTCATCCAAGTAATTTATTAAAGAAGTCATACTGGCACATCTGGGAAAACCCAAATCTGAGAGTTCTGGGGTTTTCCCTTCCCAAGTGAAAATCCAAAATCCATCATCCCCTGCACCCACCAGTCTACCACATGGGACAATCAGCCATCGTCCCAACATGGAGACATTCCTCCAGACACTCCTCTCCAGGTGCAGGGTAACTTGTCCTTGACTCTCTGAGAAAGAATGTTGTTAAGTCTAATCTTCCACCTCTCTATGAAACCCCTCCCCCCTCCCAAATTCCCAGGCACTGAATGTGGCAGCCTCGAAGCTTCTAAGTAAAATATGGCTTCCGAGGCTGACAATAGCAGTCTTCCAATATCTAAGGAGCAGCCACAAAGACATATGAAGAATGGTTGCAGGAACTGGGCGTGTTTAGTTTAATGGAAAGAAGGACTTGGGGTAACATGAGATTAGTACTCCAATATATGAGGGGCTGCCACAAAGATGAGGGGAGGTCAATTTAATCTCCAAAGCACCAGAAGGCAGGACAATAAGCAACGGATGGAAACTAATCACGGAGAGAAGCAATCCAGAACTAAGGAGAAATTTCCTGAAAGTGGGAACAATTAACCAGTTCAGGCCAGCATTGGAACCTATAAATTCCTTTTAAAATATTGCCCTGAAAATGGATATGTCAATATTCCAGATGCAAATCACAGTTCATCCGTTCAGATGTGCTGGCCTCATTTGATGATGAAGAAAGGAAATATAGCTAGCTTTAGGTGTTGGTTTTGTGACTTATTTAGGGGGTAAACTTCCGCCCCCAGGTTTGCAGGGGTTGTAAAGAAAGTTGGTTTTCTGCGACAGTTGAAACAGTAAAGTCCCCTATATTATTTCAACCGTTCCTTAAATTCTTTGGAATGATCAACCTGAACGCCAGAGATTAGTCATAATTCCCCTGTCAATGCTTCTTTCGACTGGCTGACAACTCATATCTTCAAAAATCCATTAAATTCTCATCTGAATATATTATCCAAAGGACAAGAGATGGGTAGCAATTAGGATAGAGAGAGTGCTGACGGATTGCTTGTTCATATATACATTTGAATGTCATTGTAAGATGGAGAGGAAATTGTCTATTTTTCCACTGGAAATGGAGATGACTGAGTAGAGCTTTCAATGTAGTACAACTGGATGAGAAGTTGGGTTGGAGTCCCACCACAGATGTCTCAAGTATGATGGACAATGAGTAGAGCCTTGTATATGAGCTTTGTAGTACAACTAGATGAGATGTTGGGTTGGAGTCCCACCGCAGATGTCTCAAGTATGATGGACAATGAATAGAGCCTTGTATATGAACTTTGTAATACAACTAGATGAGATGTTGGGTTGGAGTCCCACCGCAGATGTCTCAAGTATGATGGACAATGAGTAGAGCCTTGTATATGAACTTTGTAATACAACTAGATGAGATGTTGGGCTGGAGTCCCACCGCAGATGTCTCAAGCATGATGGACAATGAGTAGAACCTTGTATATGAGCCTTATAGTACAACCGGATGAAATGATGCGATGGATTCCTACCATAGATATCTCATGGGCAAGGCTAATCGTGATCCGGACTTTGGTGCTAAAGAGGGTAGAGTGTGACAAGCCTTCCATAACTTTATAGTAGGAAC